GTGAGAGAGAGAGAGAGTGTAAGTCTATACAGCATGTGTGCCAGGGGAACATACCACACTGACATATCACACACACTGCTTTGAGGTCAAGCGATGCTCTCAATTCTGAAAGCAATGTTCACATACGCACACACACACACACACACACACACACACACATTCATTCATTCACTGACTGTAGTAATGAACTAACTGAAAACAGACTAGTGTAGAAAGGAAATAGGATTCCTCACATGTACATGATTATCACGAGAATGCAGCGCACAAAAGAGAAACAGAAGTGAAAGACGTAACTGTGTTTTAGTCGTCTGATGTGACTTGAAAGAAGACTGCAGTATATTTAAAACACACTGAACAGTTGTTAACATGCGGTGGATCCCAAAACAAATCTGTCAGGGAGGTTTGATACATGTTTTACCTGTCAGGAAGAAAAACGTGATGCTGTAATAGAGCGATTCTGTCTGACATTTAAAGCCACCAGCACTGTTAAGACCCACCATGGTTTTGTTTAGAATTATAACGGTGTGTGACGGACAATCTCGGAGGCTGAAGGTAACTGCTCCTAAAAGTTTGACGTTTTCTTTAACAACCTTTAACCGCTGGATCTAGAGCCGTGAGTTGATAGCTTAGCTTAGCATAAACACTGGAAGCGGTGGGAACAGCTAGCCTGGCTCTCGCCAAAGGTCAAAAATACACCCACCAGTACCACTAAAGCCCACCAATAAACATGTTGTAGCTTTATCATTATTATTATTATTATTATTTGAACACAAAGACAAATGTAAAAAAGTACAAATGTCAAACTATTCCTTTAAAACAAGGACTCTGCGAACAGTTTCTTAAACAATGCTCACCTGCGGATGCTAGTAGTCAACAATGTCTCTCAAAACTGTGAAAAGTATTTCTTTAAAGAAGCAATAGCCCGAGGTGTTTATCTTACTTGCCAACACCAGGCAACAAGATGGCTGTGGCTGAGTTTATCAAACTTTATTTCAGCATCACGTGCCGTCTCCCTCGAGGAGAATGAGGCACAGTATGCTTTTGCGTGCTATAGATTAAGGTCATTTTTCCTAATTCAGTGTGATTTATATTGAGGCTATTGTCATCACATTGGAATGGCAAAACACCCATTCATAGTACAGCTACACAAGGTGTTTTCACTTTGACTGATTAGACCTCTCATTAGGACTCTCTCAACGTGTACTGACTGTCCCTCACTTTATTTGAAAAGTTATGTATCACAACTCTCTGCCAATCAAATGTAATTGTATTTTTTTTGACTCTTTTTGCTTTTTGTGAGTAGCTCACATAATTCTATTCATGATATTTTTTATATTATATATATTTTGGGGGAGGATAAGCGGTTTGGATAATGGATGGATGGATATTTTGGGGGTTTCTGGTTTAGTACCGACTGAGCTGACTGATGCTGCATGTTCACCAATCGAGACCTTCTGTCTGGGATAACTAGCACGAGTCTAAAGCTGCTCTGATCAATATGTTTATATGAACAATGGATCAAATGACGATGTGGAGTGGGAAAGGTGTCGCTCGCGGGGACAAACCCACAGGAAATTGTCACCGACTCTTTTTGCTAACATGTTAGCATATTGTGATTAAAAAATATTTCAAGTTTCAGTAAAGAGCTCTGCTGTTAGGTGAATACAGTTAGTGCATGCTCAATAACTAACTGTATTTAGGGTTGAGGTAGCTAACTGTTAGCCTTCCTTCAATGACTAGTGTACACAATATACCAATGCTTTAAGTATAATTCAGTTTCTCCGTGATATACAGTAATACAATGTGTCTTCAGACGGTCCTGCTGACTTCAAACGTCTCTTGAATTTACACAAACAGCTCCAGCTTGCAGAGCTATTCATATCACAAAACGAGGAACGAGCTAAAAATAAAAGTCGTGCTTCTTATGCCACAGCTGATCACAAACTGCCATCCTGCAAGAAAATCTCAGTCCCTGACCTGAGACACTGACTGACTGCTTCAGTAGATGTTACAAACCTGCTGCCACTGAGCCGCTACCTGCAGCGCAGTCAGTCCGAGCTAAATAAGCAGATGTTGAGTGATCAATATGAAAGTGGTTGTTCACACGCTACCGGTATACATGTTTATACATGGGTACATTTTTTGTCTCATAGGTTGTTGAAAAGCATTTGCTACAGAGAAGATATCTGTCAGCACTTCTAAATTAAAAGACGCAGCTCTTGGGATTCCTGTTCAATGAACTGTACCAACTGAAGTGGATCAACAACAAATCACATCACTGTACTTATGTTCATTCGTTCTGTTGGTATATTAGTACACTAACGTATTGATTGTGCAGCCTCCCCGTAGAGAGACATGCACACTCAGAAGCCAGTGATGAGTTGTGAAACTCTTATTCTGACTTACTGTACCTTCTGCAGTCATGTGGTCGTAACCGTCCCATAATACATTTTCTTCACTTCCAGAAGGCCTTCCTCACACTTTGAAGGCTTAAATTGGCCAGAAAAAACCCCAGTTGGATTCAGAGGTTTTCTCTTCAGAGTTTGGTTCCTGTTGCTTTAACCAGCTGTCAGGAACACACAGAGAGCTTTTTTTTTTTTTCTTTTGTTCACTCTTCTATGGAAATGCGCATCTGTTCTCCGGCCACACACGCAGGCTGAAAAGTGAATTGGGAAGCGGCAGTTAGTCTTCTGATGTAAACCATCGTTTCATCTTTGATCTTTTCCAACTTTTTAAATTTTTTTCTTCTTCTTTTTTCTCTTGAATAGCACAAATGGTTTTTTTTTGCATTTTGTTTTTGTTTTATTGTTTTTTCCACTCTTAAGTGTCATATAAATACAGTAGTTCAAATCACAGATTTGGAGAGAACCCTTCTGAGGGTCAACGCCCGGCTCCTCCAGTGTTTGCTGTACGTGTTTCAAGTGACAGGATGGACCGGCGGTTACAGACTGTCCAAATTGTGAGAAGGTCACAGGTTTGATCCCTGTTTCATAGCCAGTGTGCCCATGTTTAGCCCGGCTTCTTCAGAGACTGCTGTGTGAGCTTTAAAGTGGAACGGTTCAGATTCACAGTGATGCAGCTGAAAGCAGAATAGGCTGCTGTTGACCAGGGTTACAATACAGAGAGTGCAACACGGTCACTGACGGGAGAGGGTGCATTGTTGCTGCTCACAAACCCAAGGACTTCCTGTTGTCCAATTGCACACGAACAAGATAAAGCGTCGTGACACACCTTTTCTTTCAGCCTTTATTTTTCTATTCTTTACAGTTGTTACAACAAATAAGTATGTTCATTTCCAGACTCTGCAGATGTAGAGTGAGACTGACGGCGCCTGAAATGGCGTCTCGTGCTGACCTCTAGTGGATGATGTGTGGATTTAATTTTTTTTGCATTGGTCTAATGGTTATTCATACAGTAATTAATATTATTTCATCCTCAGGGGATATTCTCCATCCAGTAAAATAGTTGACAGAACCTTAATCTTAGGAATACAATTTTTAAAAACTACACATTGTGTTACACAAAATGTAGATATGTAATTAAAATGTATGTGAAGAGTGAAAAGACAAGATTACTGTACTATAAATACAGTATTATGTGCATAGAAAACCTTCAAATAAACCTTCTAAATAATAACATATGTCTCCAACTCAAAATACGTTTGCTAATAAACTGTTGCGTAGTGAGAAAAAACAAGTACCTATGCCGTTTCCATGTGTGTATTACAGTATATTGACATAAGAAAATTCTCAGAAAAAATAATATTATTATAAGAAAATAATAATCTAATATTAATATAATATTTGCATTGGTTTATTATCTGCTGCTGGGCCGTTGGCCTATTTCTGAGCTTACTGTGGATAGCCAATGTTTTGCTCTGAGCATTGGAATTTCACACCATTTTTGAAAAACAAATCTGACTTAAAATAATATGAAATTTGATTTTAAATAGTTTTTTGTCTGTGTAAATTTGGGGGGAAAGAAAAGATTAGAAGCAGTTCAGGAAAATTGTAATTTGGGGTCAAACAGCAAAGGAAGTGATCAGCTATAATATACATTTTAGTGTCAAAAATAAAAATATTTATACCTCCAAAAAAAACCATCTAGAGTTATCTGGGGCTTCAAAACACAATGTATTACTTTATATTCTTTTTCAGTGTAATATATTGAGGCATTATAAATGATTAAGATATGAAACAGCAGTTTTTATATGTAAGCACATTCTTAGCATTCTTAGCGTTTGTAAAGGATGCACAGACACTCCACAACTTTGTAAACACACTTGACAGCTCAGACAGAGGTTAAGTATTTTATTGGCAAATAAGTATAAAATCTGTAAAAATGACATTGTTCGAGTAACAAAAGAACGTGTTTAAAGAAAATGTTCATTAGACACTTGTGGTGGTCTGGTGGTTGGAGCATCATGCCAACCTGACAATCACTACAGTATATTAACTCAGTACCAGTTTAAGGCTGATATAAAAGTATTATAACAATAATTATGAAATATTATGAGTACCTTTGAGTTCATTGGGGGTCTTAATACCATTAGCCTAGTGGTGGATGTTACTACAAACCCGAAATCTGTTTAGAAAAGTACTAAACTACACTGCACCATCAGGAATAGAGTGGTTATAATGGTTATGGCTGAATTTGGTACTCTTTGCATTACATTCGTTGAAGACACACAAATGTAACAGAAATAGGTTTATGCAGAGGCGTCGAAGGTCCCATGGAAGCCATAGGCCATGTTAACAGGCACGTAGGCTCTTGCCAGTTCTTCAAAGCTCTTTGCGTCCAGAACCAAGAGGAATGCTCCTTTATCCTGCAGAGAAAGGATCGCTGCAGTGACTAACAAAGAGGACCGACACATCTTATCACACAAGTCTGACACATGTGGCTCCATGAGGCAATTAAAATGGACAGTGCAGAAACATGCTGCTCTTTATTTCAAAAGCAAGAGGGGATAAATAATTGAATCATTTAAAGAACGTAAATGTTGGAAATGTTATTTGCTGCATTAGTAATATTTTTTATTTTCTCTGCGCACTCTCAAAGTCGACCACAGTGCAGATTGATCACGACAGTTTCATTTTGAGCTTTATATCTCCTTCAAACAATCTAAATGAATTCTGTGTCAATTCATGAATGCATATTTAATCTCCCTTATGAATATTGATGATGGGTTATGTGTCCAGTTAATACCAGGACTTACAGGCCTGCTGCTTTTATATATATATATATATATATATATATATATATATATATCTAGTATGAAGTGGCACTTAATGACACTGATGTAACCAGAGTGACCTTTCTTCTCGTCATGTAGACTCTCCTACGATTCCTGGTCTTCAGAAACAGAGCTTACCTGTGAGGGGGTGAGAACCACAGAGAGGATGACGCCATCGTCCTCCTCCACGGCATCAGGCGACGGCACAAACACAGGCTCTGACGGGAAGAAACCCTTCTGGTACCAAACCTGAGCTCACACACACACACACACACACACACACACACACACACACACACACGTCATACCTTTACTACTTACTAATTTTAAGAGTAGTTGGTGTAGATTATTATACTTCAACTAAACAACAATATCTTCACTATTAGAACTTATTTTTGTTTGTCAATGGGAGAATTAAGAGTATTATATTGTTGTCGATCAAGATGTCAGCATAAAATGAATATCTTACGATATAGTATTGCGTACGCTATTTTCCATGACGAGGATGATTTTATGTTGCCATAAATACAGCCCACACACACACACACACACACACACACACACACACACACACACACAC